GCTGTGTCTGGTTTTGTTATTTCACGTGATTGAACGTGTCTGTGAGGGGAGACGTGGCTTTGTCTGTCTGTACCTTAGGGGGTGTGTCTGTGTGCTGAAGTCTCGGCAGGATCAAGAGGTATGTATAGCTTTAATTTTGGTAGCAACTGCCAAATTGTGCTCTAAACAGGTTGCACGAATTGACACTTGCCAATCGTGTGTGTGAGTCAGGCGGGTTCAGTAAATCACAGAGGCCCGCACACCGCCCGGGCTGAGCCCTGTGCACATCCAGGCAGAACATGGACTCTTCTTCCTTCTCAGCATTAACACGTTAACCAAGGTCTTCTGGTTCAACCCCTGGTGCCGAGGTTATGGGCGGATTTTAAGCATTAGGATAGTGTTTCAGGAATTAATACTATGGGACAGGAAGGAATTATTAAAAAATTTTGCAGATCACACCAGAAATATTTCCTTGGCTTACCTAAGTGAAGCAGAGCTATTTGCATTGTTTTAGAAGCCTATGAGCCTATTAGAGCTTATAGGTGGAGGAATTGATATATTTTATTACCTGCAGCAATTCTAGATCATTCTGTAGAAATCTCAGTGATGAGACGAATTAGAAATCAATACATTTAACATTCCCGGAAGGATTTCCTGATTAAAAAAGATATTTAGTATAATGTTTCCTCCAGCACAGACACTGTTTCAGGAGCACTAACCAAATGGAAGGATGGCAGAAACCTCACAGGATGAGAAATGTGAATGAAACTGTCTGACTTACACTTCTGTCCTTTCCCAGTGGCTCTTCAAGAGTTAGTACTTTAGCTTTTGACCTGTCATTTGCTATAATCTCTCACTTTAGCCTCCCTCCTTTTTGCCCCATTACTACTTATATGCATTGCATTAAAGTAACCTGAAACCAATGTCTTTGATATCTCTGTTTTAAAGAAGTCTCTTCTTTAAAGGTGACCTGTTCTTTGGGTCCTGTGTGTAGTCATATAGGGCGACAGTGCAAACTACACCGGCTGGATGTATAATTGGCCTAAATCATCACATTTGGGGCTTATTTCAGAACTTCCCTTAAAGGCTGACTTATCATGTACTGAACTCAGACTGCTCAGTGCCTGACGAGCTTGCGTAAAGTGTTCTGATGCACTTGTGCCGCTGTGAATTCATCAGCTCCTTGGGTGCATCTGAACCACGTACTTGTTCCCAGGAGTGTGTAACTGGGATTCTGTTGACAGCACATCGCTGAACAAATTGCACTTTCTGGCTCTGTGGGGTGAGCAATATGATCACTTTATTATCACTGAAAGAGCATATCAAACTTAGGTGCTAAAATACTTCCAAATGGATTTAGGTAGACTTTCTTTGATAGGGTAAGACATTAAGAAAGAACCTATTTCTGTAAAAGGCTCATTTAAAATTTTTTACTGAATATATGTAAATTTGGAAATGGTTGGATAGCCATTGTCATATGCATTCACTAAAGGTATATGGAGCTTATGCAGAATTTTGTAATTGAGAAGTGACACATCTCTTTTTAAGGGCCTACCAGGGAAGACTGACTCCTTAGGTACTATTCTGTGTTAACGGACCAAAAATCAAAGATCAAAATTTTAAGAGATTCTGTTTTGTTTATTTCAACCTGACATTTATTATATGAATCCTAAATGCCCAATTTTTTATAAACTATATTAAAATACATTAAGAACTTTAAGACTTTATTGTCATGTGTCAAATGTGACCAGTCACAGTCAAAAGTAGGATTAAAGCAAGTGCCTGGATCATTTGTTTGGGGAGTTTCTGCATTTTCAGAAAATAGTCACTTTATAGTGGGTTCCATGAAAACTACTGTCTTATAGAACATTTTGCTTTTAGGTCCATGTGATGAAATACTTGCTAAGAAATAGCTTTGGAAAAAATTCAGACAAATGTATTGTTTGGTCATATATTTGCAAAGTTTGAAGGAACATTGAGAAAAAATTTTAGTCTCTGTATTGTCACAGGATTGGATGAGGTGCCATTAATTTTTCCCATTGGTTTTTAAGCCTCTAGGGAACTGAAATTCACCAAGTAGTCCAGGGAAGTTCTAGTGTCTAATAGTTCACATGGCCTCACCTGCTGCTCCAAAGAGCTCTGGGTTTTCCTC